CGTCCCACCCTCCCATCCCCAAAGAAACAAGGGAGAAAAAAATTAACACCCTAGGGAATTCAGTGACTTTTTTTTTTAGTTGTGAAAAGTACGCCACAGATGGGCGCTGTCAACACACTCTCGGGCGAGGTTGGATGGATGGATGGATGGATGGATGGATGGATGGATGGTTGAGTGTTGTGATAGGAATGTAAGTATGTGGATGGGTGGATGAACATATGAATGGATCGATCTTTCAATCCTGCATTCATCTCCAATGCATCCACCCACCAAACCAGGCAACCAATCATCCATCCATCAACCCAGGCAGGCAGCCATCCAATCGATCCACCCGTGCACCAAGCCAGCCAGCCATCCATCCATCCATCAAGCCAGCCAACCATCTCCTCCTATTCAGTCAGCAAATCAATCAGACAGACGGCCGGCCAAGGTAAACATTTCTGCTTGACGAAATTCCCTCTGGCAAAGAGAGGGGAAGTGAGAGAGGAAATAATGAAATAAAAAACGGAGAAAAACGAGAAAAAACAAAGAGAGAGAGAGAGAGAGAGAGAGAGAGAGAGAGAGAGAGACTACTACTACTATGAAGTATTTGTCAGTGTTCTAGCAAGGAGGAGGAGAAGAAAGAGGAGGAGGAGGAGAAGAAAGAGGAAGAGGAGGGGGATCGAGAACTCAGGGCAATGATGCAATACCTACTAGGCAAGAGAGGCAGAGGGTGGAGGGGGGGGGTCAGCTGTTGACTGCCAGCCACACAATAACAAACTCTGACGTCACGCTGAGAACTGTGACGTCTTATACTGATCTTTAGGAATAGAAGTGGTAAGGGTGGTGGTAGAGGAGGAGGGAGGGAGGGAGGGAGGAGGGAGGGAGGAGGAGGTGGGAGGGAAGGGAGAGGAGGAGAGGAGAGAGGGAGGGAGGAAGAGAGGAGGGAGGGAGAGGAGGAGGAGGGAGGGGAGAGGAGGAGGAGGGAGGGAAGAGGGAGGAGGGAGGGAGGGAGGAGGGGAGGGAGGGAAGGAGGGAGGAAGAGGAGGGAGGGAGGGAGGGAGGGAGGAGAGGGGAGGAGGAGGGAGGAGGGAGGGAGAGAGGAGGGAGGGAGAGGAAGAGGAGGGAGAGGAAGAGGAGGGAGAGGAAGAGGACGAAGGGAGGAGGAGGTGGGAGGAATAGGAAGAAGAGGAAGCAAAACAAAATTAAAAATAACGATTGAGGAAGAAGTGAAACGCGACTGGAGGAATTTGTAGCACGAGATAGAAAAGGAGGGAAAAGAGACGAGAAATAAGAGGAAAAGAGTGACGGAAGATAGAGGAGGAGAAGGAAAGAGGATTAACAAGATGGAAAGGGAAGAGAAGGAAGCAAGGAAGAGACGAAGGAGGATGTAGGAGAACAAAGTATGAAGGTGGTGAGAGGAAGAACAGGTAGTAAAGGAGAGGGAAGAGATGGAGGAGGAAGAGAAAAAGGAGGAGGAGGAAGATGGAAGTCAGAAGAAGACGACGAAGAAGAAGAAGAAATTAAAACAAGTAGGATGAGAATTTAGTAAGAGTAACGCGATATGTTTTGAAGACCTGGATAAAACGTGTTAGGGAAAAGCCCTTTAAAAATATCCTGTTAACTCTTATTAAAATGAACTTATCTCCTTTAAGACAGTCTCAAGTGTTATTTAGATAGTTATGAATGTTACTTTGTCTATTTAAAGTCAACCAGTCAGATATGTTTACACTTTGGGGTTCAGTCAGTTGTATGCCAAGTCTGGTGAATCTGAAGCCCCTTGTTCGTGAATCTGAACCCGAAGATGTGAGACCCATAAATTATCTTGGTTTAAAAGTTTACACTCTTATAAATTATTTGCTTTAAATTGTCCATGAAAAGTTCTCTCGCTCTTTAACGCATCACAAAAAACAGATCAGATTTATGTTTAGTGTTATTTACAAACTCTCTAACTTTTATGAGAGAACTATGAGAGTCAACAATAATATGATAATATAGTTAATTTTATATACTGTATATACAAATAGCCTTGGAAAACTTCACCATCATCATCACTTATCAACATCACCATCAGATTAGATTAACTCGTGAGATCAGAGCCACCAACACTTGACTTCTACGGTAGCAAGACGAAGAACCTTTTAGTAAACCATTAAAACTGTATCACAACGTTGAGGTCATGGGTCACTATCGTCTACAAGGAGTCCCCACAGGTAGGAGGTAAACGACCATATATCCTCCGTCCTCCTGACAACACCCACCCAGCCGTCATCACACACCGGGCTAATGTCATGATGTTATTTGAGGGCGCGCGTCAACACCACCCCAGTAATCACAGACACGGGTGCCTCACTCAGTGCCCCGCTCACTGCCAGCAATAACACCGTGTTAATGGCCTTCATTTTAGTTATCCTCACCACCCCCTTCCTTCCTTCCTCCCTCCCTCCCTAAACCAGCCCGAGACACTCCGGAAAAACACTCATTAATCCACTTAAATCGTACACACACACACACACACACACACATACACAGAGCCAGCTCTCGCTCTCTCTCTCTCTCTCTCTCTCTCTCTCTCTCTCCAAACACACACTGTTGCACACCGCCTCCCTGCCTCGCTCTAGTTCTTGTGGTGATTGTTGACAGTCTTTTGCCTTCTCGTGTGTGTGTGTGTGTGTGTGTGTGTGTGTGTGTGTGTGTGTGTTTATACGAATAAAGTATTAATCTGTGCACCGCGCTTATCTATTCTGTCCGATTGCCTTTCTATTTCCTGGTTTATCTGTCTGACTGTCTGTCTGTGTAATATCTCTGGACCCTATCCCTCTCTCTCCCCAGCCCTAAACACACAAACATTTCCCAGTCACACACCTCCATACACTCATCATCTCCACCCACACAAAAACGACCCTCACTCTCCTCCCTACACCCCCATATATACAGTACATCACCTCCTCCTTCCCCATTTTCACCCTCCTTCACAAACACACCAGCCAAAATACCCATTAATCATTCATTCGCTGCAGGTGTCGTAAATCCACACTGGACAGATCAACAGTATCCACATCACTGCTGGCATAATGGAAGAGCTTGGTGGGTTCGTACACGTGATCTTTAAAAGGTTGATTCACGCTATTGTCGTGGTGGGGGTAGTGGTGGGGAAGGGGAGGTGGGATGGGGGAGGGCAGGATGGGGGTAGGATGGGGAGTGGGATAGGATGGGGGGAGGAGTAGGGGGGAGTGGGATGGGGAGAGGATGGGGGAGTAGGATGGGGGAGGGGAGAGTAGGATGGGGGGAGGGGGGAGTAGGATGGGGGAAGGGGTTGAATTCGAAGTCCCAGATCATCACTAGGTCTAAATCCACCAGCTGAACCATCTCGTCGAGCTCTAATGAAAAATCTAAGATCACATACTGCACAGGATGAGGACGTCAGGGTGGCAGCTATACAAAGACTCCTCTCGAGTTAGAGGGTGTGGACTGTGGAGCTTCGAAAAGTCATTTTTATTGATTCAACAAGTTGGTCCAATTTTCTTAATCCTCGAGCCGATTATTTCTCGCACAATAATGAAGTGATAAAGTTGATGAAGAGAAGAGGGTCCCCTCCACCATTTGTGAATTCTTAAAAAGCGAGAGACTCCTCCCTCTTGTTGCAGAGGGCGTGAAGCCCCGAGTCTTCATTAACACTGATTCACTGACTCGGATCACAATGGATGGACGTGACAGGGCCACACTCGTGTGACCTTAAAAGATAAAAAACATTGCAGTACGCTCGCTTTTGTTAAATGGAGGAGCTGCAGCGAGCCTGAAACATTGACCTGTACTGACTAACCAAACCGAACAATTTGAGCCAGAGGAGCTACAGTACTTCTCCCGGCGCCAGAGAGAGGAACTACGTTTTCCGGTACAAGATATTTTTCAAAAAAGGAAAAATGTCAGTATTGTCGCAGAGGACGAGGAACTGGACCTCCAATACACCAGACAATGACGAGGACGAGGAACTGGAGCCTCAACACACCAGACGAGGACGAGGACGAGGAACTGGAGCCTCAACACACCAGACGAGGACGAGGAACTGGAGCCTCAACACACCAGACTCCCAGATATTAAACCACCCTGGGAAGACGGACGAGATAGTGACGTCCACTACTGACCTTTTAAAAGGTTGCAGGCACCGTATGTCTTGGAGGAGGAGGAGGAGGGATGAATAGGAAGGAGGAGGGAGATGGATGAAGAGGAAGGGGGAGGGAGATGGATGAAGAGGAAGGGGGAGGATGGATGAGGAAGCCGAGTTAGACTGGAAAGAGTGAGAAGGAGGGAAATAAAGAAAGGAAAACGAAAAAGGAACAGGAGGAGAGAGAAGAAAGATAGAAAGAAAAGAAGAGTAGGGAAGTGAGAGAAGGAGGGAGGGTGGGGAAGGAAAGAGAGGAAAAAGAAAATTAAGAAGTGGAAGAGAAGGAAGGGGAGGAAGGAAAATATGGAGAGGAGGAAGATGTAGGAAAATTAGAGGAGGAGCAAGATGAAGGAAAAGTAGAAGAGGAGCAAGAGGAAGGGAAAGAGCAGGAGAAGGAAGAAGGGAAAGGAGAAGGGAGAGGAAGAAGGAAAAGAAGTGGAGGAGGAGGGGGGAATGTCACTTCTCAAGATTTCATTCCCGGCTTCTGGACTGGACTCGAACCCGTAACAAACTGCCACCACTAATCTGCTTCCAAATAAACCTCAGGCAAAACAAACTCCCCCAGGCAGATTAAGGAGAGAAAAGGCAACTTCTAAGACAAGCAATATGAATTAAAATGTTTAATCTAGGACAAAATCCCACCTAATCTCGCTCCAACCAAACAGAGTATTGAATCTTGAAAATCCTGTGCCTGGGGAATTTTTTGCTGGGGGCGGGGGAATTTTTGAGATGGGGGATTTTACTCGTTCATACCATCCTTTTAGATTTGGTATTGTGTTTGGGATTTTGTCTGGTGCAAATTTTGTCCGGTGGGTTTAGTTCTAGTGGGATTTTGTCCGAATATCTGGACACTTACCGTATCATTTTGGTCTATGGGCAGTCTGTCAGGCAGGATCATCTCGAAGTCGATACACTGCTGTCCGGAGCCGAAGCTGAGCCAGCGAGGGGAGGAGAAGGTCGCCTTCTGGCACGCCGACTGTACCGTGCACCTGAGGGAGACAACAACAGGTGTTAATTAGAGTAGTGTGGATGTGGACAACACTATCATCCTTCATTGCACACCTGAGATACTACATATATGACATTATAGAGTAAGACTGTAATAGTGTCAATATAAAGGTTAGTATTAATTAGTAACTTCAATACTGGACAGGTGTTATGAGGTTCACAGGTAAGGTCATCGGGACTTGACATATGACCCCTCCTTAACATGGGACGGACGGACGGACGGACGGACGGATTCACTATACACACACCAAGATTGTAACGATAAAAACATGTCAACACGATAGGTCTCCCAACACCACCGAACGTATGAGAGAAGCGATAAAAATCCCACAGTATAAAAATAACAATTTTACAAAGTATTTACAATGTATTCTAGAAACAATAATGACACTGACTTAAATTGAAGGTTTGCTCAGTATGAATAATTCCCCGTCGACGACACAATATAACACCATTAAATCAAATACAATACTATCCTAATGACCCAGGAACACTATAAATGAAGACACCACCTACTCATCACTATGGAGGAGAAGGCGAGACACAACCACCCACCCCACTATCCACAACCTGACTGACTCCTTATTTGGTGGACGTGGCGGTTAACACAACACCAAGCCTCGAATGACTGAGTCGAAGCATTAACTAAAGCTTCGACTCCTCCATTATGGTGAGTAAGACGGCCCAGTGTGGCGACATTTGGCAGTCACATCATACTTTTGTTCTTAACCACTAGATGGCGACAGTCACATCATACTTCTGTTCTTAACCACTAGATGGCGACAGTCACATCATACTTCTGTTCTTAACCACTAGATGGCGACACCTATCACAAAACATGGCAGCTCGCTGTCTTATCACATAGGTAGATGAATACGTTATTTAATATAGAAATAACAATACGAATTAATGTAAGGTCGTATACACTAGTTAAATTACATTATTTCCTAAAATAACAAAATACAAATAACAGAATATACAAATGAACTTTAATTACCGAGTGTCGTAACAATATAAGCACCCAAATCAACAACAGTATTATACACGACATACTATATGAGTACAGACCCCCCCCTCCCCAGGACACCAACACTGCCATGGATGTACACACCGCACCGTATACCATGGGAGGAACCATACCAAATTGGTAAGTTTTAGGGACACATCCACAATAGCTCCTGTTAAAAGTTGGGGAAATTGGGGAAACACATCCACTAGTTCCTGTTACAAGTTGGGGAAATTGGGGAAACATCCACTAGCTTGTGTTACTAATTGGAGGGAACCGTAGAGGGCTGGTTCCTGCCATGCTCGAGTAAAGGAGAGATCCTCAAAGGGAAAGAGCCGGATATCCTTCAACTCTGGCGAGGGTAAAGGGAGGAGCAGGAAGATGGTATGAGGAGGGAGAGAGGGAGGGAAGGAAGATGGTATGAGGAGGGAGAGAAGGAAGATGGCATGAAGACGGAGGAGGGAGAGGAGGTGGCAGGAGGATGGTATGAGGAGGGAGAGAGGGAGGGGAAAGATGATGAAAGGAAGGGAAAGACGAGGAAGGGAAGGGAAAGAAGAGGTAGGGGTAAAGGAAAGGTAAGGTGGCGAAAGAGGAGGTAGGCATGAGAAAAAATGAGGGAGGGAGGGAGGGGAGGAGGCCGTCGCAACAGAAGGGAAAGAACAGCGCCTAAAACACCATTGATCATGACAAGAACGGGAGTCAGGTGGAGGCGACAGGTGAGCACTGCTAAGGGTGTCATTAATGATGCTCTACAGTAGGTCAGAATAAGAGAGAGAGAGAGAGAGAGAGAGAGAGAGAGAGAGAGAGAGAATTATTGTGTATGTGAGTAAGCAAGTGAGTGCATATGAGCGGAGGTTGAGTGACTTGAATGAGTGACACGGAGTTACAGGAGGACTTGAGTGTTCGTTTCACTCAAGTGGTTCATGTTGACAATGGCATCAAGTCCCGCGTCTTCCTCTATACTTCCTACCCTGGCGGAACTGACCTCTGGCACTCCCTCCCGGTACACCAGCAGTCACACACGGGACGGTAAGATGGCACAGCGAGTGACATAATGCTACAACACTCGGCCAAGGTAAAACAACCAACTCAAGTGCCACAACAACCAACAGAAGGCCACAGCACGGACGACCTACACAGCGACCTACACAGCACGAGGCATAACAAGCAACACAGAAGGCATAATAGCACAGGAGAGTCACAGTAACCCCCCCCTCCCCCCACCTCCCCAAGGCTATTGTGTCGTGGAGACGTGGTTGGTATCCCGCGGGCCCTCTCCCTACTCCTTCCTTCAGGCCGCTGACGTCCGCCCTTCTACTCCAAAGGCTCCTGTGAATAATTTGACGGGACAACAGAAGCCAAACACTTCTTCATAGCCCGAGGACGGTGCCTAGATGGAGGGGAGAGGTCAGAATGATGTTAAGAGGGATAGAGGGGGGAGGGTGCTTGGGTGGGGTAGGGAGAGAGGAGTGAGAGGGATGGGGGTGGAGAGATGCTTGGGTGAGAGGGAGGGAGGGGGGGAAAGTGGTCTGGGTGAAAGGAAAGGAGAGAGAGTTGAAGAGGCTTTGGGGGCAAGTTAGGACTGGTCAGCTTGGATGAGCGGACGAAAGAGGAGAGAAGTGAAAGGAGAATGAAAGAGGAGAATCAGAGAGAAGATTAACGAAAGGAGAATAAGAGAGGAATGGGATTGATCTGCAAGTTGAAGGAATGGAGGAAGAGATGGGTGACAAAAGGACACTGGGCATAAGAGCTCACTTGACCACCACCTCACTTAACCCGTCCTGGCTTCACCAAACTCACTCAACCTAACCTAAACCTAACCCTAACCTTTTTCACTCACTTTGGCATCGGCATTACCTTCACCCACCCTCTCTCCCTCCCTCTCTCCCTCCCTCCACTTCCCCTCTTCCATCTTCTCTCCTCCTTCCGCTTCCTCCTTCACACTCTCCATCATACCCTTTCCTTTTTCGTCTCCCTCCTCCTCCTCCTCCTTTCCTATTCTTCCTCAATCCTCCATCTAAAATCCCCTTCTCCCTGTTTCTCCCCCTCCTCTTCCTCCTCCATTCTCCACCACAATAATCTTCCCCCCCTCCACCAAACTCTCCCTCAATATCCACTACTCTTCAAAAACAAAACTAATTACATAAGACTTCAAACGCCTACAAAATACTACAAGAATTATTTTAAAGGCGTTAGAAGGATACGACAGAGTTACCAGAACCAATATCAACGTGTGAACCTCAGACTGGCATCACTAGCACAGGGGGTCCCAGGTGAGAGTCTTCCTAGTTGGTAACTGTGTAATGGGAATCACTTAGTCGATTAGGCATTATTACTGCATGATTAGACGGAGACGCAGTGAAAGATTGGTGAGAAGGGAGAGGGAGGGAGAGGAGAGGGAAGGAAGGGAAGAGGGAGGAAGAGAAGGGGAGAGGGGAGGGGGAGAGGAGGAAGAAGGGAAAACGGAGGGAGAGACAAGGAAGGGAAAGTGGGGGGGAAGAGGAGAGGTAGGGAGAGGAGAAAGATAAGAGGAAGGGAAAGAGGGGTGGAGAGAGGAAGGGAAAGAAGGAGGAAGAGGAGGAATGGAAAGAGGGAGAGAAGAGGAGAGGAGGAAGATAAGAGGAAGGTAAAGAGGGAAGGCGAGGAGGAAGGAGGGAAAGCGAGGAGGAAGGAGGGAGGGAGAGGAGGAACGGAAGGGAAAGAAGGAGAGGAAGGGAAAAAAGGAAAGGAAAGAGGAATAGGTGGAAGAGAGAGAGAGAGAGAGAGAGAGAGAGAGACTTAATACATAACAAATTCAATGTATCCTTGACTTCACAATGAGTTAACACCACCCCTTGATACACAACTAATCCAGAGTTAATAAGCTTTTAACCTATCACAGTGACTTAGCTCTTTGTTCAATACACAACTAATTTACTCTAATGACAAGGAGACAATTGACATCTTTTGACGTTCTGATAAAAATGATTCAATTCGCAAAAAAGTATTTAAACTTTTTTTCATTTCTTTATTAATATATTTTTCCGAGTTTGATTTTTTTCTTCACAGGACGGTCATGTTGTTCAGTGGACTCGTACCTCTTTTATAGCATATAGACGTGTGTGTTACTTAATTCAACGATCGTCCTGGAAAAAGAGGGGATGAAAAGGAGGGAAGAGACGGAGAAGGGAAAGGAAGAGGAGGGGGAAGAGGAGGGAAGAGGTGGAGAAGGGAAAAGAAGAGAAGGAGGAAGAGTAAAGCGAAGAGGATACCACTACACACACACAACGACACCTCCCCCACACCCAGACACAGCACCTCCCCCCACACACACTACACCTCCCCCCACACACACTACACCTCCCTCACAACTCTCTCCCCCCCACACCACCCCCCCCACACCACACCCTCCCCACACACACTACAGCTCCCCATCCCCACAACCCCTTCCCCACACCCCCACACCACACCTCCCCCATCCCCACACCCCCCCACAGACCACACTCTCCCACACACACACAGCTCCCCCATCCCCACAACCTTCCCCCACACACCCCCACAACTCCCCACACCCCCCCACACACTACACCTCCCCATCCCCACACCTCTCCCACTACACCCTCCCACACACAGGTAGTCCCAGGCAAGTCCTCATCTGGTATTCCAAAGGGCTGCGGTGCTCACCTCGTAAATGCTGAGCTATACGTCGCTAATACTGCCCCCCACCACCTCACTACCATAGCCCCGTCCATTGCCAGATAACATGGCCCTCCCCTCCCGACCCCTCCCCGACCCCTCCTATGCCTCACCCCTCCTCTGCCCCCAACCCTCCCACACTCTCTCTCCCGCGGGGGGCGTTTACGTGTCCACAGTGGCCCGTACGCTCGTGCAAAACATGGGTCAGGTAATTCTATCCGGCCGCTAATGTAGGCCATAACCTGGGGTATGTTAACAGGGCGCTAGGAGTGTTATTTCTGTGGTTGTTATTACACTGTTATTACTACTGCTGCTGTTGTTATTATTATTACTTATTATTATTATTATTATTATTATTATTTTAGTGATGAAGGCTGGTGTAGTGGCCCTGAGAGAGAGAGAGAGAGAGAGAGAGAGAGAGAGAGAGAGAGAGAGAGAGAGAGATACACTACACCAACAGCAGAGTGTAGTGTGGTAATGACGTATTGAGTAGCGCCTCACACACCACGACTATACCAGTGTCCACACACACACACACACACACACACACTCTTTCTCTATAATCCTGTACACCACGACGCACAAACAGATACTCAAGAAACAGTCTCCTTGTATTCTTTTCAGAGCATCGACTTCCCCGTCTTCCTGGAGGGGGCGAGGGAACTTCCCGTCCAGTGGCATGAGGATTTCCACGCTCAACGGGGAAATTCCCGAGACCCAGAGGGGAGGAAAAAAAAAACTGAAGTTGGCAAAGTCAGTCCGTGAGAGTTTTAAGGGTTTTGCTGGGGACGTCCATCAGTTATATACAATGATACTCCTGTAGGGGTAACATTGGTATGTTATGTCTCCCGTGGCCACAGTATAGGCTCTGGTCTCAAGGTATCAATGGTATCTGTTACCTCCGGAGTGTCTTGGGGTATTCCTACAGCCAAGGTTACTTCATTAGTGCTGGAGTCAAGGTACCAAGTGGCTGCTCATGATAACACTGGTATGGTAAGTCTTGGTCTGGATATAAGGAGGTCTTGGTGCTACTTTTTAATATATACCAATGTTACTGTTACTTTCTGGGGCCTCTATGTTACTGTTACTGCCAGGAACCTCAACCTTGCTGCTACTGTCAGGACCTCAACCTTAATATAAATGCCAGTGATCAGAACACCTCGCCTAAGTACAACTGCCAGGGATCCAACTTTCCGTGTTTACTGTCCTACCTGATGAAGTGAACTGAAGCACAATTTCACCACCAGGAGCCTCCCACCCACAGGCAAAGGAGTGGGCGGGAGAGAGGGAGGGAGGAGGGAGCGGGTAAGAGGCACCGTCCACAAGGAGCAGAGCCGCATATTTTGCAACTTTGGCAAGTCTTTTGGGGAGTCTGCAGTTTGACGAAGTTACGAGCAAACTTAGTCGTCTCCAGCAGGCACGACACTGACGCTGGACTCGCTATAACTTTAGCTGGAAGACGCGACACAACACGCCACGGCAAGTTTACAAGATCAC